GAAACGTGGCGTCACACTAGTCATGTGACTTCGCTGACGCAACAATATGATATAGAGGAAAGAAAAGATCTGACTTTAATTTGTGCAATATTTGGAAAGTTTCAGCCAATTATCTTACCCAGATGCTCCACTTGAAACAATGGATTCATTGGCACATAACTAATTTATAGATGTCATAACAGATGAGGATATGAGAATTAGGCTGAAGCAAATTAAGTTTACATCCTTAAAGGAAGCTCTACACTTACCAATGAAACTAGAATACATATAGGTCACAAATGAATTAATAAAGGTGCCCTCTTGAAGTTACGGGCATATTAGATCCTGCTGTATTGGATCACCAATTCTTCCTAACAATAATCTAGAAGAACAGAAATAACTAATTGGATTGTTAGTTAAACAGAACAGAGAAATTAAACCAAAAGATAATAAATATTTTAGTGTAGCTTGAAGGAGCATATTGCCAGGAACTACAGGCAAAGGCCTGTAGAGAATAAGAGCTTTCAAAGGATACCAGATTGAGATAAGTATTATGATTTGGAAAACCTTTAAAGAATCAACAGCCATTATCAAGCCAAGGATACAGAGTCCAACCAGGTCAAAGGAACAACACAGAGAAAAGGAGACATCAAGAATACAGGAATTGGTTGTAGTTATGGGGTGAGGTTCAGCTGGAAACACTCCATTTACCATGAATGAGAAAAAAATATTTGAAGAAAATCGTCGAGAACACTATGGGCTTACTGATGGAAAACTTTGCAATATGCTGACTGACACTGTTTCCACTGCTACAATTGTTCATTATGATTTGTTAATGAAAGATAGTAAATCGCCTCCAAAGGCGAAGAAAGAAGGTTAATGCAAACAGCAAATGGACATAAAAATCCAACAAAAAGGAAGTTGGAAGCTACATGTAGAAGACTACTCATCAGAGATTGAATATCCAGAAAAAGCGATGGTGGTCATTGTACCACCAAAAAGTGAGATACTCATATTAGGGTAAATAGCAATCATTCTTCATCTAGTGATTGAGGCTTAATGGAACCAAATATTCCAGCATTCATGAGAGGTTAGTATTGAAAGAGCTCTCCTGCATGTGAAGAATAAAGATGATGTCGATGGTGTTCCATGACTTTACCCACGAAAGACTAAAATTGTTTTGTGATAAAGAGAAAGCTAGCTATGCTGTATGATTGTGAGATAATGGTAACTCCACAGAAGAACTTGTCAGTGGAACCTCAACCTATAGTGGAACACAAATTTCCTGACGAAACTACTACCAGGTGATCTTCGAGATTGGAACCACCACAGGATTCATCTGACCACCTACACAGGAAAACTCCCCCACTGACAACAAGGGATAAGATGACATTCTATCTATATATATAATGGGTCTCAGAAGAGAAAATCACCAAAAAGAGTTCATGTTGTTGCTAAGGGTAATTCATTCCTGCTTCGTGAACTACCTAACTTGTTTGAGGTGCGTTGAAGCAAATTCACATCCTCACTCTTTGACTCTGTTTTATTCTCTTGGCGAACCTTGACAGAATATTTTGAGATGATGCCTGATGTAGTATCTCAAAGTTATCATACGTACCTGACAAAAGCAGATAACATCAGACTCATGGTTTTTCTTGGAGCATTGCTATTTGTGGTTTTAAGATATCACAAAAAAAATGCAATAGGAAACTTTAACATTCTACATCAGCCAAAATGGAAGTATGCTATTTTGATACAGCTTTATGAGCTCAATCAATCACCTATTTTAGATGAATGGGAAGCAAATTTTCCTCACAACTACCAAGTTGACATAAAATAATTCCATAGCATAGAGCTTAACAAACTAAAAGAACACCATAGAAAAGAACATCATTTGTATGTAAAAGAGAGTGAAAGAAGTTTCTCTACAGTGCAGCTTGAGATATTGGAACCACTCAAGCAGTTTCTAAAGGAACGGTTATCATTTGGTGAAACCACCCACAACTTGCTGAGGTGCTTTGTTACATTCAAATAATGTTGAAGTAATGGCATTTCACAAACAAACAGCATATGACTTAACACTGGCAAATATTTCTCAAAAGTACCGTGATGCTGTCAAGATCATTGGTTCAAAATCACTTTCATTGCTAGAAACAGTTAAATATCTTGTAAAAAATATAGCTGAATATAAAACCTTAACCAATGTGTTTGCCAGAAATGCAGCATGCATGCCTCATTCTGCTGATGTTGAGAGAATCATAAGCTTATACAATCAGCTTAAGACATCTGACCACTCCAGCCTG